TATGGAAAACTTAAATATCTATGCAAATCTTAAATAGCTATGCAAATACTTACATAGCTATGGAAAACTTAAATAGCTATGCAAATCTTAAATAGCTATAGAAAACTTAAATAGCTATGGAAAACTTAAATAGCTATGCAAATCTTAAATAGCTATGCAAATACTTAAATAGCTATGGAAAACTTAAATAGCTATGCAAATCTTAAATTGCTATAGAAAACTTAAATAGCTATGGAATACTTAAATAGCTATGGAAAACTTAAATATCTATGCAAATCTTAAATAGCTATGCAAATACTTAAATAGCTATGGAAAACTTAAATAGCTATGCAAGTCTTAAATAGCTATAGAAAACTTAAATAGCTATGGAAAACTTAAATAGCTATGCAAATCTTAAATAGCTATGCAAATACTTAAATAGCTATTCAAATCTTTAATAGCTATGCAAATACTTAAATAGCTGAATGTTTATTGAAAAAGTATCTCTTTTGAGAAGCTACGATCATTAACACCTCGTCGTACTGCTCGTTTTCGAAAATACTTTGGCAAAACAAAAATTCGAAGCCAACCTAATCTTAATTAAGTTTTTGTATTCTTTTTCCAATATTTCTCGTTTGTTGCTCTGTCGTTATATTCCATGGTGTTATTTGTCTTAAATTCCATCATGAAGAGAATTTTCTTCATGAACTTGAATAATTTATTCTTGTTTGTTTTTCTAAAGTCTGTATAAGTCTCTGTTTAGTTTATGAACTATGTTTTTTTTCTACAATGTACCTCATTCTTTTTGTCAATCTCTTTATTTATTTAATTGTTTTCTACAGCTAGTGAAACTCTTGACTAGTTTTAAATTTTTCTACTAAATAAATTATTTCAATAGCAAAACATTTCTATTATCTTAGAAACTGATTCGTAGTCTACGTTTGCAAAGTAAAAATATTATTACGAAGAGAAAACGTGCATATTATCTTAGAAATTCATTCATATATCAAAGAGAAATTTTCTGAAAAGTAAATATTTTTTTTATGTGGATTCAGATTTATCTAAATGACGAGAAATATTAATTACAGAAATTATGTGAAGTGAGTCAACGTTGAAATGTGTTCAACCAATCATGTAAAAATAATAGCGCCATCTGCTACACCTTTTTAACGCCACTTTTTTTATAGAAAACCAAGAACACCATTCGACAGAGAAAAATTTTCTCTATCTATTGATAACTAAGCTATATGTGGCCCCGCCGAAAACCGAAAACACCAATCACTGAGGACCGTTATTGTCTCTCTTATTTCACTATGCTCTTTGCCGTCAGGGTCCGTATTATTGTACATTTCAATTCACCTTTTTTTCTCATTACTTTCTCTCTTCTTTCTTTTCTTTTATTATCGCTTTTTTTCTTGTGAAACAAAAGAAAAAAATTATCTTATAATTTCTATTATTTACGTTTACCGTTGGCCTTCTTATATTAAAAAACGAAACAAAAAATAAACATTATATATAAATACTGATATAACTATTCTCATATTAGAACTTCATGTTGACTTGTTCAATTTAAAGAATGAAAGATGACTATTGATGTTCTGTGTAAAGTAAAAATATCAATATTGCTGAAAGAACAACATCCAATACACAATAATGATTTTAAGATTTATTGAGTCACATCTCGACTTTTGCGTCAACTAGAGAGATATGTTATTCATGACATCAAACAAAAATGTGTGACATATGAAAAATGTTTTCCTTTATTTTTCGAGTCAATTTATGTGGACACTACAAATTAAAGTTAAACATTATTTGGAGTATATATAATCGTTTCAATGATGAAAATGACTGATCATAAATCATTGCATAGGATTAATTTTATAAAATAGAGCAAAACAAAAACTTAATCAAATCCTTGATTCATCGATTTCGAATAGTTCTAGAGATAGATCGGATATAAGCTCGTAATGGATGCTGTTCTGGCGGTACGTATTCGAGCCAAATCGTTGCATAATGCTGTGTATCATCATTATCAATACGTTTAACATGGAATAATGTTTGTGGTAACAATAAGACTTCTTTTTCATCTTCAAAATCAGACAAACACGGATATTTGTCAGAAATAGCATAGAGTTGAATAGCAGTATCACATTGAAAAGGAAATTCAAAAATCATTAGAGTATGGATCAGATCACTCTCAGAGTCAACATTTAAAAAACTTTCGGCAACATGACGATCAGTGGATGTTGAACAAAATGTGTTTGTTCGAATGATACACGATGTTTTTCCGCATGCCGATCGATAGTCTTTTAATTCTTGATATTTCATTGATAAACCACGATAGGATGTACCTTGAAAGAAGCGTGATTTTAAATTGGCAAAGTGACAGATAAGTGGAAGGAGCCATGCATCTGATTCATAGTGTAATTGATGATACAAGGGTGTTTCAAGTGTGTAGAGACGTAGCAATGGTTCAATCCGTTTTGTTCGAGCGAATTTGTTTACCAGTTCACATGCTTTGTAATATTGAGGATGATTACGAGTAACATGTGTATCAATCAGATGTTGTAAAAAATCTCTTACGGATGCCTCGTTTTCATATGGTGAGAATTGATCATGAAGCATGTGGTTGAACGTAGCAAATGTAATTGATCGAGCTAATGGTGAACTAAATAAATATTTTCCAAGAACTTTAGTCATTATTAGCCCTTGAATGTAACTCTCATCCGCTACTAAATCAATCCATTTTCTTGGTGATGTATCCTCATCATCATCCTTGTTATTGTCGCTGTCTTGTTCATTGCTATTGATAACTATCAAAAGTTGTTTTTGATTGTTGCAATTATCATCATTACAGAATCGATTCGATCCACCACCAAGTCGGATGAAAAGTTGACGAACATCATCATTAGCTGCTACTTCAAATGCAGTCATTTTATCTCGGTTTCGTCTATGTCTCATTACACCTCGTTCATGAAGAAGAATTCGAACAATATCAGCGTGACCAAAGAATGAAGCAGCATGAAGAGCCGTGCTTCCATTGAATTCACGACGATTGATATCAGAATAGTTTAGAGAAGAGACAAGCTCTCGAACACGATTGACATCACCAGTTTGACATGCATGATAAAGAGGACTGGCATTGCTTTTGAAAAATCGACAGAGAATACTCGTTTCTTTCTTCTTTTCGATTCTTTCTATGCTAGTCATCGTTTATATGATACAAATAAAATGAAATGCATATGCGTATCCAATACCATATTTATATCTACTTCTACGCAATATTACACTAATATTCATAAGCGACACATACACATGTGGAAGACAAAACATTGAAGAAGGTAATAATAAACAAAATATGCGTCATTGACTTACTCACAATTACTTCCTTTCGTTCTGATACTGTCATGCGTTCATGACTTAGAAAAACAACCGATAGTCTTTTTCAGTGTGCTAGAAATGAAATGCTATGAAAGCAGTGAAGAAAGCTTATCAGCACAATATCTAATCACGCTAAAATATCGAACTCATATAAGAATGTGATATAACAACCTTCAAATAGACAAGATAACAAGATGTCGAAAATTTTACATGATATCTTGTGGAGTCTCAATTAGCTTGATTGTTTCATGTTCTTTTTTGAAACTGTGTCATAGTTGTTACTTATATTTCGCTAGCTTGTTCCAAATTTCCTATGGAAGGAAATAACTTTACGTTGATAAGTATGCGTTGTTCAACTAATTGATACATTACTATTTATTGATCTTAATCCTGAAAATAACAATATTTGTATAATAACAAATGATTGAACAAATGCCTCAACAAATGAAACAATTGAAGTATTACTTTGTCGTGATCTTTCATTTGGATATGATAATTCATATGCTAAGATTTATGATTCTAGTTGACAAATAATTAGAAATTTATTTAGATATATTAAACATCATCTGAAAACAAATGAAACTCTTTTCAATTATGTTACTGAAAGTAATTGTCTAGGAGATATTGATGATTTAACAACTAGAGAGGTAAGTTACATAAAAAAAAAGATAAATAATCAACGAAAACTATTTTTAATTGTTTTATGGTTGTATTCATCATGAAGATTTACATAAATTAGTGATATATAAAGACGCAGATGAAACTGTTTATAAGTATTCAGCTGTATATTCACATTTGAAAGCATTTGCTCGTTATAATCCATTAGAAAAAAAATACATTTGATTGTCTATTTCACGGATCATGTTTTGATAGATTTGACAAAGTAAAATGATTTTTTTTGCAATTAATTGATAAATATTCTTTTTTTTTTATTTTCTAGTTTATCAATGAACTACCTAACAATAATTTATCAGATCGGCATTGTAAGATAATTTCACCAGGTTCTTGATTTCATCTAATTAAGACAATACACAAAGACAAAAAAATGGAATAATTTATCCTATCATTTTAGAATGAGGTTACTTTGCGTGTGTTTGTTTTTTTTTCTATTATAAAGACAAAAACCTTGCTGATAACTGTAGAAAGGAACAAAGATAACTGTAGCATAGAAAGAATCCTTTTCTTCGATCATCTTCTATCATTCTTAGGTGAGAATTTGAACATAAAATCATATGCTTTAATATATAGAACAATTTGAAAAATAATGTCGATCGGTTTCCAATAAATCTATTAATTATTAAAACGCCATTTTTTCGTTAATGTATCTTTGGTTTGAAGTTCTATTATCATTTTACAGCATTTAAAGATGATGTACATTATTCGACAAAATATTTTAATCATTTTCATTTTTTGATCCAACCTTAACGAGTAGTATCTAGGGTAAATTTTCGACGAAAAGAAAAAAACGAAATGCACGAGAATATTTGAAATTGATGTGAGTCTACTGAGTTTGGAATGCTGATTCAGAATAATCATATTAGTTTTTTCTATACAAATAGAATTTTTCTGACGAAAATCTACTAAATACTAAGCAAAAAACAACCCAAAATCATTTCTCAAGAATAGTTTCCTTGAAATTTCTTCTAGTGACTAACATTTTCTCACATATACTTGTATACTATTTGGTAGTCAAAATAAGGTGTAGGTGTGGATATCAATATGTTCTTCTAAAATACTCACACTCACACCGATAGTCCACACCAAACAACCTAAATACATTGTATATAACAAGAGGAAATATAATCTGATGAGGGGAACTTTTTCAGCTGCTAAAAAATTTTTGAGCTCAAATTTTGCCTACAGGTAAGGAATGTATAGACCGGAAAAATTCTAAGAAGATATGATCTCAAGTTAAAATTTAGCTGAGATATCGATTTTTTACTATAATCTTCTTATAGGACTCAACCTTTCCGGTAAAATCAAAATTTTAACTTTTAACTTGAAACTTTACATATATCGAAGTCTCAATCAGGCTAGCTTGTCCACAAAGTTTCAGAATTATCGGATGAATTATCTCCGAGAAAAGAGTTTTCCAAAATATCCTTACATAATATAATATCTATAAAAAGCATCTATAGACTAACATACTAGTATCTTGGAGATAATTCATCCGATAATTCTGAAACTTTGTAGGTAAGCTAGTCTGATTGAGACTTCAATATATGTAAAGTTCCATGTCAAAACTTAACAAAAATATTGTCACATTGCATTTAAATAGTTATGAATTGAATTTTGTCATAATATACTAATATTATGGGAAAAAATAATTATTCTAAATCTATCAAAAATTGAAATAAAATCAAATTAGTTTAGGAAATTCATCGATTGATTCGATTAATTTAAGAATGTGAAACTCTTCAAAAGATAATCAAAGATTTGATTAGTAATTTTATTTTTCCTTAATATTTGGTGTTAATTTGAAATATCTTTTAGAAATAAATCAATGTTCTCAGATATCATTCGACTTTTTCCACTTTTGTATTATCCCATTATTATTATTGTTTTTAGTGTAAATATTAATTTAAAGATTTTACACATATGTCAAAACATTTCTTTTGTGTTTTATAGTCTACACATAGTGTGTTTCGTTCATTTATTACTAGAGCAAAATAGACATATCATGATATTATTCAATGAACCGTCATCATTTGTCCGTTTTCTAGAGAATTTTTACTAGACTATTATTGATTGTCTCTATAATTCATATGGTATCAGCACATAAAAATGAGATTGACAAATGATTAGAAGTAGCACTTGTTGAGTTAAAATTTCCTCATAGACAATTATACGTACTCATTTCTGCATTATAAAATTATGTTGATATAGTTCATGTAAATAAATTCTTATTTCTATCTAGTGTTACATCTCAAATTTCAGCAGGTACATTTATCAAAAGACGAATATCCAATGAAATCAGTGCTGATCAAGTAATAATTGAAATAAATGATCATGTGTACGTCAAGTGAATCGATTGATGAGGTATTTAGGTATTTTTAAGTGTCAAGAAAATTGTTTCTATCAAAGACAATGTATTAGTACAAATGGATTTTGTTGTTTATACTACAAATTGTTGATGATTGTTCTACTTTTCTAGCTAATGTATTTAGTGAAGATGTAAGCAAACATACATATATATAGAATAAATTAAGATCAGTACCTTTTAATGTGACTGTCGAAGTTAAGACGGTCATCAAACGAAAATAAACACGATAAAAACAATACTATTTATTGATTCTATCTAAAACTTATTTTTTTTTGTAATAATTTTCTTTTTGGGATTAAAATCTATTCAAGATGTTTCATATATAAATGATGATTTAGGTTTCTTCTTAGTTTATTAAGAAAAAAAAAGTCAATTAATGATTTCTTTCTCATATCATGTAATCGATGAAATCATTTTAAAAAAGAGAGAATCATTAATAGATTATTCTACAAAGATCGACTTCATCAAAATAAAATAATATACAAAAAAAGAAATTATCTATACTGGCATTTTAATATAATGTTATTTCATGTTTTTTATTTTTATTTTATTCAAAAATATAATCTTTTTGATAATCATAGAAATTAACAAAGATAATGTTTAGTATATCAAGAATCTTGTTTTTTTTCTTCATTACTATACATTGCTCTTAAATAAAAGAAATGAATGATATAAACTATTTTGATATAAAAACACCGATTAGTAAACTGTTGATCAATCACGAATAGTCATCAAGAAGCAAAAGAGTAGAATAGACATCGCAATATTTAGTGAATGGTTGCAATTTTATTTTATGCAGTGAAGTTGATATGAATTAATGTATCAAATAAGTATGATAAATAAACAAAAAATAATATTCTGAAACAAAAGAAATAATAACGTTGAAATGCATCTATCTGAGTAAAATAATCATATAAAAGAGGTTTCAACAAATGGTTACATATCTTTTTTTTCACTTTCTGTAGATAAACTCATTAAAACTAGCCTATCTTAGGGTTAAAATGAGCTTAACTATCGATTTTATTTACTCAATATATTTAAACAAGTTAACATCGAACAAAAAAAAAGAAAAAGTGTTTTGAGATGAATAAGAATATGAAGAGTAAGATGATACACAATTATGATTTGAAAAACCATTTAATGTTGATACAGCAAGCATGCTTATTGGCGATGCTTTGTCAATGAGAAACTATGGATATGAATTTTGCTGTTGTTGTTGTAATAGAGATCTCATTAAAATTACGAAGAGAAGAGAATATCAAAAACAAAACGAAATTCTCAATCTTGAATTCAATGACAATGTATAAGAACTTGAAATCAATATTGTTCAATAGAGCTAAATGAATAGTTGTAATAGGTCCGAGGAAAATGGTTCGGGTCGATATACATCAGAATTTGTTGGTTGGAATAAATTTTATAGATATAAGTATGGTAATTTTCTCTGATAAAATGTCTCAAGAGTAAGTTAAAGAGGTCCTATGAAAATAATCAAATAGTTTTATTTTTTTCTATTCATCTACATTATTTTCATTTATTTTTCATTCGAAGTATATTTCATTTCATGAAAAATACAATCAAAATTGTGTTACTGAAGATTAATTTCTTAATTTATTTCATTGATATTTCATAAACTACCAAAAATTCAGGTTTGAACTATTGATTCGAAAAGTAATGTTAGGTTTCTCTTTAAAAAGTTGACGGAAAAAATGAAAGATTTGAAATTTAGTAAAAAGTTGTGGATCAAAAATTATAATTTTTTTCTACATCATTTATCTTGAAGAAATCTTACAGATATAAAACATTAATATGATACTTCCTCATGAAGATTTTAAAAAAGCTGGACAAAAACAAAAAAAGAGAACTTTTTGAAGCTACTACCATTAACTGGTTAAAATAATCTGGACAAACTAACAGGTTATTCTCGGATGTGAAGGACTTTTTGAATCAGTTGGATCGGACTGGTTATAACTCTGGCAAAAGTCACTAGAGAGCTTTGAGTCCATATTTTCACGAATCCTAGTGAATTCAAGAGTCCTTTGCTTTCTAATAATTATATTGCTAAAATTCTAGTTCTTATTGACGATTAGACTTATATAATAATGTAAAATTTTATAGTTCTTCTTAAAATTTGTGCCAATCTATTTTACTTTACGATACCAGAAGCTTATCTAAAGAGATCTCTGAAATCCGATGGAATACACTTCTTCCTATTGACACATATACTCAAATTGAAACTTTTGTCACCAAAGACGTTATTTCAGAAGCAAATGCAAATGTCAGATTGAATCGTTTATATATTTTTTTCTCATCTACTAGATAAGTCTCTATGGATGTTTATTTGATATTATATTAATATTTCATTGAATATTAGAATTTCGAGTATCATATTCTATCTTATTTCATTAAGAAACATGAACATCCAAGAATAAATCTTCTCAACAACTTACTATATGATTAATTAGTTGTTGATTTGGAATAATTATTAGAGTACAATCATTTGTATCTCGATGTAAATTATGAAACTTTGTCATTGTTACTGTTGTATCTTCAATCAGTGAATGACATTTTGTTCGTTTATTAGTAAATGGATCATGTTGATGAGACCTACAAAAAAATAAAGACAACAAAAAAAAAATCAATTTTTGAAAAAGAAAAAGGAAACTTTAGTTTTACTTTGAATGTCGACGTTTGTTTTTGGATAAACTTAAACTACTATGATAAAAAATAAAAATAAAAATAAGAAAAAATAAATTATTATTTTCCTTTTACTTGCTCAATCGTCAATGATGCTGATTAATTCTTTGTGTTATTTGTGAAAGAGAGGATGTGGGTGTGGATCTGGGTGTGGGTGTGGGGTATGGGTGTGGGTGGATGTGGATGTGGGTGTAGGTGTGGGTGGGGTGTGGGTGTGTGGGTGTGGTTGTCAGTGTGGGGTTGTGGGTGTGAGTGTGGGTGTGGGGTGTGGGTGGGTTTGGATTCAGAAAAGACCCTAACCCACACCCACAGCCACACCCACTCACACCACACCCACACGCACTCACACCCACACACCCACACCCATACCCACACACTAGGAGTGTGTGGAACCAGGATCAAAGGCCGAAAACGCGACTCTTGTAGTCGTTGTCAATAGTGGATAATTGTTGTGATAGTTAGTCATTTTTTCAAAAAAAGGAGAAGAACAAAAGAGTGACTGAGAATAGAATCTTTTTTGGAATCTTAGAATATAAAATTACTAACGTCCAAAGTCGCTTCAAAAATTTATTCATAACGGAAACATTGATAAACATAGCTTTGAAGCATCATCGTTGATTTAGATCAAGAGCTGTAACCTTTCAAGTGTTATGAAAAAGCAATATAATTGTTGCGTTACCAAAAGTAAACGGTACCTAGTTATTTCTATTAATTCTTCATACTATTGTTGTTTGTTCTGAAATTTATACCACACATATATATCTTGTTTCGCATCGTATTGCGAAAGTTTCAGCCAGAAACCGTGAGAATTTGTAGAGAAAACTGCAGAATTGGTTTTACATGACTCATGAAAGTTTACAGCTCTTTATTGAAGTCAGCGATGATACTTCAAAACAGTGCTTGTCAATGTTTCTCTTATGAATACGGTCTACGAATACTCCTTTATCAGTGGTAAAAAAATCAGCTCATGCCGTCAAAATATAGCGGAGATATCCAGTTTTTTTGCTTCGATGTAGTAACTTTTGGACTACCCTGTAGTTATACTCAAATTAGAGCTTTACGAGAGCTGGAAGAAAAAATTTTGTAATGGCCTGCGGGTTTATTATTGTTTGTTCACAATATCTTTTTCGAATGAGAGAAAAAAAACAGTTTTCATCCATATTTCGATGGAAAATCATCCACTGAAATTGTTCATGGTGACATTCATGGGCACCATTCCAATATTTGTTTGAGAATCGAAATGAATTAATTCAACTCTTAAAATACCAGCAATAACTTGTATTGGAAAATTACCAAAACTACGATATCCACCTCTGGCACCGACATCTATTACATGCACACCAGGGTTCAAACTAACAATATTCTTAAATGCACATGTTATAACCGTGTGTGACTGTGTATACCAATGAAAGCCACCAATAGAATCTATGCCATCGTTCTCTGTTTCTTCTGGAAACGATTGATATCGATCACCTGTATTCGGTACAAACTTGTCAACGTAAAGCAAATAATCATCAATCATCAAATGTAAATATAGCCAAGCTGATGATGAATGAGGTGAGCGACAAGTTCCTTCAAATTGAATTTGGTATAACAAGGGTACTGTGTGATGGAAAGGCATGGTAAGACCAGGTACTTTAACGAACGTCTCAGTGTGACCTTGGACTTCATATACTTTCGGTCGTTGTTGTTTCATGTGGTGTCATCATACATTATGTATACTTTTTGGACCATTTTTGATTCTCTCCTTCCTACCACAATTAAGTTTAAAATTGAGGTATCATTTATCACTTTCTTTTTCAAACCTGCTGAGGTTTCTGTTTTGAAGGCCATTAGTTAAAATTTCTAATAGTTAACATATTGCAGTACTGAATAAGAGTACACCGTAGTTGTTCATGTTGTGGATATTCACCCTATTTACTTCGATGATACACACGTTGATGAACAAAGTTCAACAAAAAGAAAAGTTAATACTTTACACTGTACATTGTCAACAAGAAACGAAATGAAGAGCTTGATCATATTTTTGTAACTATTAACGTTTCGTCAGTACTGCTTGAGACTTTCACCATTGCTGGTACCTTGTCATCAATATTTTTATCTAACTCATTATCATCACTGTTGTCACAAACGCTTTGATGAAATGCTGATACCATGATGTCAAATTTGTCTTGTTAATTATTTTGCGTAAGAGAGGTGCTAATACAGATAACACCAACAGTGGACTAAAGACGAGCGAGAGCTATCCCTATCCCGATCCTACCCTGGTTCAGGAATGGTGGAACTGGAGCCAACGTTTTTAAGTTGATCCCATGAAAGATTTTTAATAAGCAAAATGCGTACGATTTTGGACATCACTTGATATATTTCTTTCACAAAAAAGTATAAGATAAATATACCATCTACACGTATGAAAAAATTGCAACGACACAGCGATCATAAATATTCGGTTCGCAGCAAAAGTGATCATTCGTTTTCCGGTCAGTACCATTTCAAATAGTCAGTCTTGTGGATTTTCGCGAAACAATGGGACCAGGATCAGAATTAAATTTAAAAATTTTCACCGGGCCGGAGTTGACAACCTTCAACTTTGCGCATCTCTACTGGAGACCCCATATTAAGCAGATTAAAAATTGCGCTACTAAAACACCTACCCGCGGTCACTTATCTGTTACATACCTATGCATGATTGTAGATGTTTCTTAACATTCACCACGATCGCCAATAATAGCCAAACCATAACTGAAAACCAATTGTAGCAGGAGACATTTCATACCAAAATTAAGTATAAACTTGAGCGGGACCCATATCTTCCCTTTCTTTCATGAATTACATAATGTATGAATAACACCTATGATAACTATGAGAATGTAAGAAACCATTATTATTTTTACTATCAGTTATTTCAATTGGTTTTGATGATAGCGTTGAAATGCAATCAGATTTGTAAGTAATGACCAAAAATAGTGTGTAAGAAAATATTTGAAACAGGGAATGCATTATTATGCTATTGATGCTAAATCATACAAACATTTATTTTGCAATTTATTTTTCTAGCATAGTGAGTGTTCGGCTGTCAAAAAACGTGTATGAGAAACGGCAACAAACAACGAAGACTGTGAGTGGGGGTAGGGGAGCATCAAGATCTTGGGTACGGGTCGTTTCACTCTCACACCCTTACCTGCTAGCGACAGCTCGATAGAGAGTTCGTTAACAATGACAAATTGACCGACTGATTTCAAAATCGTGCTTTGTTTCACCATGATGAGGCTTCGCATCATTTCCGATTCTGCTTTATTCTATTTGTGAAACGGAGTGAGGGATGGTATTAACAAAAACTGGTTTCGTTTTGAAACAAAAGAGATTGACGCACTCCAAAATCAAACTATTAAATATTTTAAGCTTTCAAAAGCACCTGATTTACCTTCCTTGATGTGTGATTGTTTCCAAAGCCAAAACTGTTCAGTTATCGATGAAATCGACCGAAGAATAGCACGACTCAACTTGCTTTTATATGGTTCGTACTATTTCGATGCGCCAAGTGAAGCGAGGTCAAACATAAATACATCAGTCAGAATATTTGCCCGACGTATTGTATAAGCACCACAACGCTTTGCATTTCAATCTCAATTAAAATAATGCTTCAGTAGATCTTTTGTCACCGCTTATTTAGTCATACAAATGCAACTACTTATGAATAATAAATATACTTCACTTCAATTTTTCTCCGAAACAGAACGACTGTCTTATTCAAGTTCGATAAATGTCGCATGTCAGCATTCTCTTCCTTATTTCATCAATATTAAAAAACATGCAGTGCTACGCGATACATAATGATACAGTAAAAGGGTTTATTCAATTAACCACCATGTAGAATCAAGATGTGAAGCAGGGATGCAAACTCTGGGGTGTAGGTGTGGGGTGTGAGTGTGCGTGTGGGTGTGGGTGTGGGTCTGCGTATGGGTGGGTGTCGGTGTGGGTGTGGGTGTGGGTGGGTGTGGGTGTGGGTGTGGGTGTGGGTGGGTATGGGTGTGTGGGTGTGGGTGTTATTGAACTAAACAGTAACACCCACACCCACACCCTTTTGAAATCACACTAAACTCAGGTAAAGAAAAAAAGACTTGATGATTTCAAAAATATATCTAGACTAGTAAACAAAATTATATATGATTTTTCCAAAATTTAATCTTAGTACATATGTGTATTGTCTACAAGTATAATTCTTTTCTGTGTACAAAAAGTAAACTAGTTGATTACTATATAAAATGTTAAAATAATGAAAGATAACTGTCTTGACTTTCCATATCAATGTTATAAGATGCAAAAATGAAATATTCAACCTATTAATCATGATGGAATAGATATTCTTTATTTTCGTCTTTGTTTTCATTGATCAAAACACAAGAAATATCAACATTCATGTATAAAACATAGTACTTCCAACAAACATAAATTCAATATTTATATGTAAGTCAACTGATTATCAGTAATGTTCATCACACAGTTGCTCTTATTATGATGACAATGCAAAGATTATGAGCGGCTTTTATGTTTTTTAACTACAAAAAATAATAACTTGGAAGCAGTTGCACAATAATTACGATCATTAGTATTTTCACTTTTCTATCATTTTCTAGAAGCTTTCAAATGAAATTAGTTCTCTATTATTTACTTGATCATTAAAATATGCATATATCACAGAAAAGAGTGTTCAATAAAACCAAATGATACCTTTTTTTTCTTTTCTAAGCATAAATTATTTTTTTATTTTATTATATACATATATCTCTATGAAAATAAAGGGTGTGGGTGTGGAGTGTGGGTAGAGACATGAACTGCATCTACACTAACACACCCACACCATTAGATCTTGAGAGAACATTACGCCCAATATCTATTATACAAACAGCAGATCCCATGCTTTTGATTCGCGTATCATACAAGGTTCTGTCGACATTTATTTATACTATTCGAATGCATTTGAGATATCCAATATAGGTTTTTCTAGAGAAAATTTTTTTTGTTTAATATTCATTATGCCACAATTCTCCAAAGTATAGCGATATTTAGGTATGGAATCGACATTTGTTCTTATCAAATGCTCTACATAAATCACAACTAAAACTGATAGAAGCTTCTCAGATGAAGTATTTCGGTCTTGATTTCTTATGACATGTTGTAGAAGAAAAAATGAAAGAGTTTTTACGAATTTTATTTTGCAAACCAATGGAAGAAATACTGATCCGTTCTTAAAATATTCAAAACTTCCTCGTAATTCTCTTCGGCTTGAAATCTTTACTATGAACATATATGAAGGGTATGAACTAATGAAGAGTAGAGCAATATCCTCAGATATTTGACAAAATGATCACTTCTCTTATGTTTGTATAATACATATTTCGTGAAAGCCCTATTTTTTAAAAAGACTGAAATGTTGGCTAGACACTCGGCTCCATGACTATACTTGATATAATATACCGATATACCCTCATATACATTTAAAATAGCTTTGATATATGAAAACTATATTACCTTTTTCCATTCATATATTCTTCCTGTCTGTTAACAATATATATTTCTTTGATATCTTCCTATTCTCCTTCAGTCTGTTTATTTCATAATATTTTAGTTCTATACAAATAGATTTAACTTTGAATGCACATTTTATTTAAATAATCATTGATAACAATTAATAATTTAATATTTCTGTATGAGGAAAATATTCTTTTACATATTTAGGAATTCGATATTTACCAAGTAAACTTAAACGACGTAATTTTTTGCCGTTGATTCGTGTTGCATTTCTTGTAAATTTTTCTGTGACTCTTCTTAGTGCTTGGTAAATGACAACAAGATAAACATTATTTGATAAACGTGTTTTAGTATCAAGTAGAAATAATTCGATATAATCTAAATGAGCTTCAGTATGATCAAGTGTAGTAAGATGAGGATATTCAATAATTGGTAAAATTTGATTGTCATCTTCTGAATTTTTAGATTTTTTATCATTTTGAGGTTTTATATTTTCTAAACTTAATTTTTTCAGAAATGGAAATGATTGAGCAATTCAAAGAAAAAATTCGTGTTGAAATGGTCGTTCATCATATAATGATACTTTAGAAACACATTTAAATAATCCACCTGGAAAATTATTTGTTATTTTATAATATTCACAGAGTGTGTAAGGGTGCGAATAAATATGACATCGACTTTGTTGAGTATCTGAAAAGTAATCGACATAAGAAGTAATATGATTATCAGGAAAATCTTTGAATGTGTATTGAATATCTTCATTCGATGGTAAATTAATTTGATTAAGAAGACCAATAGTTGAACGAAAATAAAATTGAATTTTTTTTAATCGTACCAATTTATTGATAATGTTTTTTTTTAAATCATGACCATCAACAAATTTGTTCCTTTCACAAATTTTAACATATAAACCAAGTTCTTCTAAATTTATCATTCGATGTAGAAGTGGAACAGTTAATTCATCATAAGCACTTATCTCTACGTTAAAATATAACGAATAGCATTTTAAATTAGGTAAATTTTCCTAGAAAAGACGAAAAAATCCCATGTCTTGCGAATAAATTAGATATCAATGAAAATAATTTACCGTATTATTGATTGTTAGCTGCGTAGAGTGAATGTCAGAAATATTAACATGAAATTTACGAAGTTCATTGAAACGTCCATCAAGTAAATAGAGACAATCATCGCAATTGTTTACAGTGACATGCAGTTCTAAGAGATTTGAAGAATCTAAATCTCGAACTAAACTATCAAACGACAACTTTGAATACCAAATTGAAGATGGACAGAAATTCAAATATTGTAGGTTGATGAAAATTTGAATAATATGTTGAAATATAATTGTATTAATTAGATCTCCAAAATCTGGCTTTTTATTTACTGTCATATTGAAAGTAAGTGATAAAATTTGATTTTGAAATAGATCAGTTAATGGATTTTTGTCTAAACATAAATACGAAAATCATGAGAAATAAATTAATCCTAAAGCAGATAAATTCATTCTCATTCGAAATCAGCATGGAAAGCCTGTTGAGTAGTTCATTAGCAATGGAAATAAAATACTGATTTAGTTTTAACAAAAACATCCATAAAACTGAAGATATGAATTTCTCATGTTACGCTTAATGAACCTACGATGATAAACTTTGTCTCTATATGCTTCTCATTTGTTCTTAATTACAAACATTGAAATAATATATCTTACCAAACAAGTAATGGTCACATGTACGCAAGTTAATATTATATAAAGTAAGTCTATATAAACTAGGATAATTTGTAGCAAGAAGGATACATTCCATAGATAATGGTTCAAGATCAAGTCATTGGATTTTATGCTTAATTTTAGGTAAAATTTGTAAACAAAATTGATCAAGCATTGAATCAGTTAATGAATGTATGGAGTTATCCGAGGAATGTTCCAGTAAAGTCAAATGATTAGTAAAAATTGGATCATATACAATTGTGTTAAGTCGTTGATTAACACCTATTAAAGAATAGAGGATATCAGCTTGACACATGTTGTTAAAAATCATCATAAGAATCTCATTAGGTAAATCATCCAATTGAATCATTGAGTGTTCCATTTTTTTTTCACTTCTATTTATGTGTGTTGTAACTCCGAAATGTGATTATTTATATGCGTACATTTCTTGCATCTAATTGACTGATGTCGCCAATGAAAATAAAAATGCATTTTTCTATTATCTCAATTGACTACATGTGAGTGAGTAAATGAATTTGAAGACGACATTTTCTTTCTTTCTTTATTTTTGTTCAACTACTGTCATATGAGAAAATAAGTATTGATTGAATATTTTGTAATAAAATGGGCATTTATTTTTTCAGTTTAGTACCATGTAAAAAAACCGAAGAAAATCCGATTATAATCGATTATTAGATTGTTAATCCATTTTTGGTTATTGTCGGTAAAATGGATTCAAAATAAAAAAATTAGATTAAAATCTGTTGCTTAAGTTAAAACACAAACAAAAAGACTAATGATTTAGAAATTGCATATATGAGTATTCGAACTTCTGTTTAACAACAAAGCTTATTTCTTTTATTACAATATTCTGGAATCAATTTTCATAGACCTATTTCATATGATAGACATTGCCAAAATTTATTTATATTGTATTAGACATAATGAAATGATTTATGTTT